GCGCGAGAGTCGACGTGGAATTTGTTTGTTCGACACTTCCGAGCGACGCGATCCGGCGACATCGTTAGCAGCGTCGCTGCAGATGCAGAATCGCGATTGAATGGCGACTCTGCGAAATAGATGCAACTCGGACGATCGACGGACAGACGTTGCGAGGAAGTCTTTCCGGTTTCTACTCGCCGAGTGGTAGTGGTGGTAGTAGCAGCAGCAGCAGCAGCAGCAACAACAGCAGGAGCAACAGCAAGAACAGGAATCTCAAGTTCAAGTTCACGCAGAGCAAGAGGCACCTCAACCACAGCGTCTACCGCAAGAACAGCCGAAGCGGGAAGAGGTGCAGCCGCAACAAAAGGAGCCGGGTCACCTACAGCAGCAAGTCCGTCAGAAGATAGAGAAGGACAGGGAGCAGCGAAAGCTACAGCAAGAGCAACAGCTGTTGCAGCGTAAAATGGAATTGGAGCAGCAGCTGCGACGGAAGTTCGAACGAGATGCAGAAATATTGCGAAAACTAGAATATGAAAAACCGTTGCAGCAGAAGCTGGAACATGAAATACGAAGAAAATTGGAGAAAGGGAAGGAGGAACAGCAGCAAATTACGCGGCCGGAGCTGGTGAAGAAAGAAGAAACGAAGCATTCGCCGAAAGCCGAACAGCGTGTGCAGCAACAGCTAAAAGTGGATGATAAGCAGCCGCAACTGCAGAAGGCGGATGAACAGCCGGAACTGCAACAGAAACGTAAACAACTGCAAGAACCGCTGGATAAGAATGAGCGAGCGAAACTGCGCAAGCAAGGTGAAAAGGTGCAACTTGCGGATGTATCGCGTCAAGAGTCGATTGTGCAGCAGCAAAAATTGGAGATAACAGTGCAACAAGCAGATCAAAAGACACAGCGTCGGAAGGAGAAGCCGCAGTTGCCGCAGCCTGGGGAATCGCAACAGCAGCAGCCGCAGCCGCAATCGCAGCAAGAGCAGCCAACTGGTATACGACCGCTCGAGGGAGTCGGTGGACTT